TGGAGGATTTCCGCTCCATCCCCATACACGTTAACAGACTTTTCCAGTAGATGTACTGGCCGCGATTGCCAGGGCAAAGTAATCATTAAACACGCTTGCTTTTAAACCATGTGTAATGTTTACAAATAGTTACAAAGTTACACTCACCAGAGGTGAGTTCGGGGGTTACTGGTTCCAGGTCCAGGGTCACAAAAATATCCTGGCTGTTGGGGAAACCGGTTTCTCCGCTTCCTTGCTGCTGTGAGCTACCTACCAGTACCTCCATCGTCATCTTCCTCGTTCCCCGAACCGTCTTCCCTGTGTGTTTCTCCAGTGAGAGAGTCATAGCACACGGTTGGGGTAGTGGTGGCTGCACCCCCTAGGATCGCATGCAGCTCCACGTAGTAGCGGCAAGTTTGCGGCTCTGCCCCGGACCTTCCGTTTGCTTCTCTGGCTTTGTGGTAAGTTTGCCGTAGCTCCTTAATTTTCACGCGGCACTGCTGTGTGTCCCTGTTATGGCCTCGGTCCTTAATGGCCTTGGAGATCTTTTCTAATACTTTGCCATTTCTTTTACTGCTACGGAGTAGGCCGGTTTTATCGCTAATCCCCTCGTCGGAGGTGGTGTAAAGAAACCGGTTTAAAGGACCCTTTAAGTCGAAAGAAAGGGCTTCGTCGTGTGGACGTGTCCAGGCTTAATTCGATTTAACGCTGCTAAAGTCGACCTAAACCCGTAGTGTAGACCAGGCCTACTTAGTCATTTCTTCTTCCAGACTAAACCACTAAACTCAAGACAGATGAGTGAAGATGACTTGAAAAGCATAAGTTAAATAATCCCCTCCACTCATCTCTTGTAATCAGGGAGTCTAGTGTTTCTCTGCACATGGACAGGTATCAAGTTTCAGAGTTTCCCATTTTTAGGGGATCTTGACTCTTCACTTCAGGCAGACAAGGTTTGGTACTTATTGATTGTGTTGGGGTAAATTTATACTCAGACCAGGTCTACATGTGGAAGACTTTGGCAGTATAGCTATACCAATATACTATCCCAGCAAAGAGCTGCGAGCGTGGACACAGCTTAGATGAGCAAAATGGCACTTGTGCCAGTTTAGTATATTCCAGCCCCTCCCCTAAGCAAAATAAACTAGACTGGTAAGGGTGCGGTTTTTCCTGTATAATCTCACATGCACTCATGGCTTTTGCCTGCAGGTTGGTCACAAATCATACCTTATCACCTGCTAACAGACAGCTGTGCTGGCAAAAACACAAGCATAGACATTTATACTGCAAAAGACTCCGCTTGTTGGTGTAGATTATACCAGTTCCCCCCAAAAAATAAGCTATCATTTTTAACCCTTCAAAGGTAATTTGGTACTATTCCTTCACGTTCTAGGTTGCCTTTACTGCTGGCTGTTACCAGCTGGTAAACTTTGCTGGGCCGGAGACGGGAGCAACGAGCTTCTCTATTCCGTTGGATTGGCTGGAATAGATTTATGTAATTCTTTAGTGCCTAGTATATTGGCAGCGACTTTGCCACGTTCATGTACTGGACAGTGAGCTTATAAGCATCTGCTTTAATCCATGGCCTGACTTTGGTTCAGACTCTAGTTCAGGCCTTAACTCTTGTACCAGGCCCAGTGCTCCAGGCCCCCTCTCCCTACTACAAGGGGTAGAGACCATGTGACCTTTTAGGGCCTTTCCTTCTCTATGTTCTATCAATCTCTCATTTCATTATAATTACTTAAACCTCTAATCAGCAGTTCATATTTTATACCGTTGCATTTGAAGTTTTGTTCAGTGCTGATAAGGATTGTAATTTATTTTGGGGCTATTTTGTACTGACTTTTTGCTATAAGTTTCTGTTTCTAGCAGCAGATTGTGGAAGAAGGTTATAGTAGTTCACTAGAATCAGGAAGCAGAGTGTCTCATTAGAGCACATGGGATTTTGGTTTTTTTTAGGTATTGATGAAATAGCCTTTTTTCTTGTCCATGGAGGCTTTGTTCATCTGTAATTGGTGGTGCTGGAACTGATCATTTGTCCCTGGAGATCTCAACTAACTACACAGTCCCAGGGAATCTACAACGCTGAGAAATCGGTCTGAGGAAAGCTTCCTTTGGTGTTCGTTCAGCAGGAAAGTTGGAGAACCCACAAGATAGGAGTACCTGGGGTAAGCTGATCAAACAATGCAGGAGAAAGATCCATGTGCAGTCAGCCAGGTCCTCCTCCTCTAGGATCCGTCTGGAGTTAATCTCTGTGTATGACCCTTGGGTGTGGAGCCCAGCCTTCCCAAATGCATTTTCCACTCTTCCTGTCTCCCAAGAAGCCAGTCTTACAGCCCCTTCTCTGAACACCTGGGCAGCAGGAAGGGGAAGCTGAGGCCAAGTTAACCATTGTTTTACTTGGGAGCAGGTAAGGCCCCTGCACCTTGTCACACCCTGTAACTAGGCTAACTGCTGAGTTGGACTAGAAATCCCAAATCAGTGGGGGCTGAGCTGGAAACCTCTCAGACTATTTTGGGGTTTGCAGAGTTCACAAAGCTAATTTCCCCTAGAAATTGAAGATTCCTTGTCTGTAGAAAAAGCCAGTCTGAGCCTGTATACCCTGTCCATTCTGTATATTGGGATTGGTTTCTTACTGGGCATTCTCTGTAACCCCCTCTTTTTAGTCTTCCTCTATGAGGGGAGCATTGAACCCTATAACATTGTTGGCCTCTTTTAACCCCAGCAGCTAGTCAAAGTTTGGGGCCTTGGGGATGTTCCAGCTGGGAATAGAAACTGATGGAATCTGGTATTTTCTTTGATGCCGTCTTGTTTGTTTACAAGGAATGTGTACAAAGTCCTGCTTCTCCAAAGGCAGGAGGAACCAAAAGAGAGGGTGGCTTCTTTGCTTATAGCCCGAAGCCTCTTTAGTCAGTACCAGACTCAAAAGCTTGTTCTCTCTAGCTTCTTCCTGGGTCACATCATGCTTACAGGCTTCTGCTTGGACTTCTCTCGTTATGTCCTTATATTTCAGAATATTCCTTTTCCTTCCTTGTGCTATGCTAGATTGAGAGAAAAATGGCAAACATTTCCCTTACTTACCCCTTAGCATGAGTTATGCCTGCTCCGTGATGTACGCCCTGTCACCCATCAGTTCTGAACTTTGTCCTCTTAGTCTATAAGGGCCTGTTTTCATTGCAAAGTTAGCCCAGGTACTTACTCAGATGTAGCCCCAACTCCCCACTCGTCCACACAATTCTCTCACCCTGGGTTTAGAGTGCCACCAAACTCCGTTACCTGGCGCTGCCGGGTTGCGGGCTAGAGCCAGGATGCTGCTTTACGCTCAGTCTGGAGCTCCTCTACTTTGCAGCGTGGACACAGGCTAACCCACTCGCGTGCTGATGGCTAAGGCTATGGTTTTGGCGTGGAAATTTTTAGTAGATTTCACAGCAGAGGTGCAGGAAAAACATCCAACGTCACAGCGATCACCAAACAATGAAGTTTTTGATGCATCAATGTACACAAGAGCTTTTAAGTAGTAAAAGTGTCTGATATTAACACACTGATCAATGATAATTTACTCCTGGAGGAATTCTGCAATAAAAAATTCTACACACCATATTTTAAAATTCTGTATATTTTATTTGTCAAAATACCCCACTATAATCACAACAGTTTCAATTATTTTTGATCATTTATTTCAAAATACCTGTCAGCAAGTATGTCTGTAACAAAAAAGATTCAGGAACTGTATTTTAACAAATAGCTTCCTTACTAGGCATATTAGTACAGACCTGAGTAATAATTCCTTTAAACCCTGGCTGACCGCTGTTAGGAAAATGTGAAGTAAATAGGGTAAAAACTAAACAATAATAACCTTGCTTCTGGCCTTGCTTTTAATTTAAACAAGCTCAATAAGCAAGCAGGAGAACGTGTGTGCAGCCTTGTGCTTTCACTTACACACACTGCCCGCGGAGCTGCTAGCCTTGCCTTTCAGTAACAAGAGAAGATAAGGGGACCTAATCAAGCAAGGGGTTGCTATGGTAATGAAGCAGCTGGAGTGGAGGGAAAGGTGTAAGGAAGAGACATGGAGTCAGCAAGAAAGTGAGGATGGCCAAAAGTAACACCGCTCCTTACCCCTCCCATCAAGTACAGAAGAGGTGGTCTTCCTGACCCAAGACCCCCCAGAAGGGAACATGACCATATATTGGAGGGGGCGGCATGAGGGAAGGGGCACTACATTCAGTCTCTGCCCCAGTCTGTCCTCCCCCACTAGCTCTTATGAGCTCCTGTCTGACCCTCTTCTCCCCCCACACAGACACCTTATGCTGTCTGTTTCCCCATAGCCCCTGTTTCCTGACCTGGTCTGGCAGGTGCTATTAAGAAGGTAGGCTCTTTCTCTTCCCTAGTTGGCCAGGAGCTGCTGCTGTGTTCTATGACCACAGCACCCTCTGGTGGGCAAAAGGTGGAACTGCACTAACATTTTGGCAGAAGCTTTTTTTCTGCGCAAAAAAATAAAAATATGCATGGCTCACTAATTATACACATGCACAGTATCACAGAATTCCCCAGGAGTAAATAATATAAAGACGACTGCCAAGTTTAACTGTTACTTTAGAGTACATCATGGTGGTTGTACTGAGTTTTCCACAACTGTGAAATAGAATGTTGTACACTGAGATGGGCCCCCTTGATTCCACATTTGCCATCTTGCAAGACAAGCAGAGAACAAAGGTAAAGGGCTCTACACCTTTCATCACCATATACATTTTGACCAGTTTCCAGGCCCCATTTTTAGTTTATGGCCCACTCCGATCTCCGTTTTGAACGTGTAAGCTTTTGGCAGTGTGGCCATTTTGGATTTTTTTTTTTCCATTGGGCACATTACTGCTGCTTGTGGGGTTTGGTTGGTTTTCACATTTACAGCCATTTAAAAAAATGTAGGGTTAGAAATAACATTTTTCAGAAGAAAATCGGCTTTTTAAACATTTAGGGCCTTTTAAATAAAGTTTAGTAAACAGAGAAATAAAGTGTTAAGGCATAAATATTTTTAAATGAAAAAATACATTATGCATTTTTTTAAAATAAAGACATTAAATATTAGTAACAGAGCACAGGCTTTGAGAGAAAAGAAAGAAGGGAGCGGTTGTTTCTCTCTCCCACAGCTTTGAGTGTGAGAATGCAGAAGTTTCTATGAGCGTATGCTGCTCCGAGATTATCTCCAATGACCTGTGCCATCCACAGGAGCTGGCAGGAATGCCGAGGACAAAGCCAGCAGCGAGCCAGCTATGCTAGCCAGGTGGATTCTCGCCGTCCGCATCTCCTGGATGATGCTGCCCAATTCCTGCTCCAGACTGTTCGCAGAGGCAGGTTTCTGCTCAGTTACAGGCTGCTCAGTTCTCTGTGCTCTGAACACAGGTGTGTTGTTCTCAGAGCCGCGATGTGTGTGAGAAGCACATTCAGACGTCTGGACTTGCCCAGGTACGTAGATCTGCTCAGAAGGTGGATGTAGGCCAGGTGAGGCTGGAGGTGAGCAAAACATTCTGTCCGGTGCTTTCTCCTCACTCTCCACTTGGCCATGGATTGCCCCACTGAGTACACATGGAGACCTACTGCTGGGCCTCTCTATGCATTCGGCAATGCCCATGCTGTTCTCTCCCTGGTCTGTGTGCCCTAGGTGTGCCTCCCAAACACACAGGCTGGTGGAATGCACAGGGGATGGAGAGAGGTCCACTTTGTGGGAGGAGGGATCAGACGATGGGGGTGCAGAAGAGAGCCCGCATGGTGAGGATGGGAAGGCCGTATTCAGAACTGTGTCAGCAGATGATGGATCTGTGTAGGCACAAAACCGTGTTAAACTTAGCAGATACTCTTGGAGCATGCTCCAACAGTAACTCCAAGTGCACATCTGAAAATCTAGCTGGTGAGGCCAGAATTTCAAAAGAACTTAGGTTCCATTCCAGCACTCAAAAGGGTCAGAGATTCCAAAGTACTCAGCAGCTCCAACTGTGATACTTATGGTCAGATTTTCAAAACACCCCAGCACCAATCATGCTGGGACTTCTGAAAATCTGATCTGTTGTGTCCCAAGGAGCAGAGCAATAGCTTGAAAAATCACCCGTAACTTTATGTGAACAACTAGGAACTGCAGTAAGTCAAGGCCAAAGTCTGAAACATCAGTGTGTCTGGGGGAGAGCAGGAGGAGCTCAGAAACCCTGCCCCTTAGGGCGATTCATTCAGAATAAGTCTTGATCTTCTCGGGGAAGTGGAAATTGCTGTATTCTGAGACCTTCACGTGGGGTAGATGGATGAGTACATAAAAAATACCCCAGGAGCCGTTTCTACCTTCTAGCTCAGTCATTCGCAAACTGTGGGCTGTAGAATGTTTAATTTGAGAACCAAAGAGGGGAGAGCTGGGGGTTGGGAGGTGAAATGGGTCCATGAAAGACTCTCTTACAAAGTGGTCCATGTAGGATAGGAAAGTAGGAGACCCTTGTGAATCCGCCACCTCCAGGGAAGTTCTCTCTCTGGGGCAAAGTATCTGTGAGCCCTCCAGAGAAGAGAGATGAAGATACCAATTCAATTGCAACATCCGAACGCTCACAAAATAGCTGGACAAAAAGCAGAGGGTCAGGGAGAGTGGAAAGAGATGATTGATGTCTGCCAATAAAATAGGACATCTGCTAGATACCAACTTCGTGCATGGAGCTATAGGTGCACATTGGGGCGGGGGGTCATTCTGGATACATTATACTATTTATCGATTTGTATGCAGGAGCCCTAGTCATGGGCTATGGGGCAAGAAGCTGTACAAGCACATAACAGAGATGGTCCCTTCCTGTGATGGGGTGAAACTCCATCGTGGCCTAGAACGGGTTAAAAGCCAGTTAGTCGCAGCTACTGCACCTGTGTCATAATTAAATGGTTGCTTCTCAGCCAGAGGGGGTGGGACTAAGAGGTGTCAGGTGATAACTTAAAGCACACCTGAGAGCGTTCAGTCAGGGTGGGGGCAGGGTAGAGGGGGGCCCAAAATGGACTCTTGTGAAGGGGCCTGAGCCAGAGACTGCAGGAGAACAGACACCTCAGGAAGGCTCAGTACTGGAGCTGGGCAAAGACTCCAGAGTGACCCCAGAAAGGGACAGAGCCCAGAGGACAGGCAGATTTGCTGAGGCAGCTGGGGTGTTAGATGGACTTTCTGAACCTGAAAGGGCTCTGAATTAGCTGTTCCTTTGTGGGAGGGCTGACTGTGCAGAAAGGCAGATGGCCTACGGAAGGCTCTAGCGGTGAAGACCCCTGTAATGAGAGGCCCTGATGATAGGGGGAGCTATGGTGGTGACAATGACCACTCCCACTGCCCCAGAGAGCTTCCGACTCACTTGCGGAGGTGCGTCTGTCCCTGGAGTCCTGGTGAGCGCTGATACACGGCTCTTCCCCTTGCTCCAGCTGGGAGATGATGTCAGGTTTGGCAGCAGCACCGCCTGCATGGGGAGAACGGTGATTACACACTGACGGTGATATCCAGGGAACGTGGCCGGGTTACTAATGTGCTAGATCTCTGTGTTCCCAAAATGGGAAGGATCTTCCTGTAAGCGCTGCCCTGCCAGTGCTCCGTGAAACACACCGTTGTGCTGGTACTGTGCTCCTGGCCAGGAGCATTGTGGGAAAATCTGATGCCCTGGCCTGTGTTGCTATTGTTTTCAGTTCCGTAAGACATCTCTGTCTGGGTGTATTGGGGGCCCAGACTTTATCCCCAGGATCTCGAGAAGGGAAGTTTATCAAATAACTCAAGTGAAGGTGGGGGTCAGGGCACATTCCCTGTAAAAACTGAGGGAGCTAAAGACTAAGCCCTATAGTATGATCATCTCCTGTGTACCCGCTCAGTTCCACAGCTGACCTCCTGGCTACTCCGCTGAGGAAAGGCAGAAGGTGACTATAATTCTGCTAGAATCTCTCTTCATGAAGTAGGTTTTGCATCAATGCCACTCCACTACAGTAGTCTGCAGCATCTCAGGATCAGTGCGGATCATTCCTCTGCAACCACTCTACAGGGGGTGAGAGCAAACCCAGTGTGGCGTTTACCTTCAGTGGAGTTTTGCTTGAGTGCGCAATATAGGGTTTGGCCCACAGAACACAGAGCTAGAATGATTAAAACCACCACAGTAGTTTGTAATTCTTCTAAGCATTTTAAAGGGGGATGGACCTAAACGCATGAGAGCAAATCTGAGCTGAAGCTAACTCAGGCCCTTCGAAGTTCATGCAGCTTCTAGAAATAGGTGAACGATCATTGTTACCCAGTGAGATCACAGCCTCGTAGTTGTCCCTCATCACGTCCTTGTACAGCTCCTTCTGCCATTCCGCGAGCTCCTCCCACTCCTCCGCGGAGAAATACACAGCGACGTCGTCAAACGTGACTGGAGCCTGAAACAGTGAATAAACAGTGATCAGCAGCCTCTACTTCAGTCACACCCTGACAGCAGCAGCCCTGGGTCCCGGCAGGGCAGGGAGAGCGTTTCCTGAACAAGTAACTTGCATGAGTAACACACGCACAGCACAGCCTGTCCATCTGGAGTGTGATTCCCACCCTATCAGCTCACGCCTGCCACTCCAGGGCTCTGATGGAAGGAAATCAGTTTCCAAGGGGATGCTGAGTAGTAACCCAGCCATTGTCACAGTGGCGGCACCAGTCCCTTCCCCCCACCCCACCTATTTGCAGTGAAATCTAACTGGGGGTTGTGTTGTCCATGAAACACAAAAATGTAAACACTGGCATGGCTAGAGAGGACACGAAGGCAAACCCTATACTGAGCACACCTGCATTTCAGAGCCCGGAATGCACTGCCCCACTCAGTGGTATCCTTTGAATTGAGATGGATAAGGCATCGGTTCAAAATTGTCCCCCGAGGAAGTTCGTTTCTCCCCAGCTTTCTAGCCAGCTCCTCCCCTGCCCATTTGCCCTGCCCTGCGTGTGTGTTCCCAACTCCTGGGAAGAGTTCTTCCCTTTTTTGTTTCCTGATAGAATGTTGTTAGGAGCTTTCTCTGAGCCAGGTGCCAGGTGAAGCTCTGGGGGAGGAGCCACAAAACCACATGTCCCAACCCCCCAAGAGATCCCCCAACTCTGGATGAACTAGAATTGGACTGGTTTGCACAGCTCCACTGTGGGGCGCAGTAATGGTTCTAAAATCACATGGGCCAAGGAAACAGTCATAGAATATCAGGGTTGGAAGGGACCTCAGGAGGTCATCTAGTCCAACCCACCAATCCCCAGACAGATTTTTGCCCCAGATCCCTAAACAGTCCCCTCAAGGATTGAGCTCACAACGCTGCATTTAGCAAGCCAATGCTCAAACCACTGAACTATGGCTCCCTGCTCCGGTAAACACAGCTCCTTCCCCAGAGTCCTTACAGTTCACAGGAAAAAGTCGAGTTCAGGGACAAAGTCCTACCTGAGCGGAGCCCCCGCCAGCCATTCCCCATCCCACGGGACACGGATGTTTGCTCCCAGGTTCAGCAGCTGGTGGGGAATCCAGGCTTCCTGCTGGGACTGCCACAGGCTTCCTGCTGCTCTAGGCCCTCCTTCCCAGAGCAGCTGCTGCTCTAGTGGAGACAGGCGCACAGGAGATGGGGTGTGAGTAGCGCAGGAGTGTCCCAGGAGAGGCCAGCGGGAGGCTTAGCGTCAGATTCAGATTGAAGAGCTATACACCATGCAGGGTTGGGTACTTCCTTATTGCACATCAGTATTGGGCCAATCTGGATTTGGTAGTTAAACTGCTGGGAAAACGTAACAGAGAGAATGGCTGGGGGATGGGGGAGGCCAGGGTAACAATCCTGTGTCCAGATCTCAAGAGTGGGGCCAGAGAAGCCTCTGCTCACCTCCCGGAGCATCGAGAAATGACACACAATTCCCCAGCCTAGATGGGAGGGTTTTGCTTTCTCCCCTTCCCAGCTTTCTCTCTCCTTTTTCTGTTCCTGAGCTGGTGTGTTTCCTCCTTGTGAGTCCATCTCCTCCCGCTGCTGGCCTTTCTCGCCGCCTCCGCAAGGCAGCATCTCTCTCTTCTCATCCTTTGTCTCGCCCGTATCCCTCTCCCTGCTTTAATGTCCATCTTGCCGCTTCTCTTCTCCGCAGTCATCCCTTCCCCTTAGCTCGCCCGCTGGGCTCTGGTCCCCCAGGCTCCTCCACCCTCCCTAGCTTGGCGCCTTTCCTCACCCGCCTGTCTCAAGTCTCCTTTCTCTGCAGTGGTTAAAACAGATGGAAACAACGCACTGCCCCAGGTGGAGGGGAAGCAATCCCTGTGCTCACTGCACCAGCCGAGGGGAAGGGGGCACCGGCCACGTGTTCATTGCACACTGCACCTAGGTGATCAGATGTCCTGAATTTATAGGGACAGTCCCCATATTTGGGGCTTTGTCTTAGGCACTTATTGCCCCCTGCCCCCTGTCCCGATTGTCCATACTTGCTATCTGGTCACCCTAACTGCACAGGCCAAGGAGAGCGCCTGATGCTCACTGCTGTGTACGTGCACTGTACTGCCCAGAGAGCATAGAGACCGCTCCGCCCCTAGGCTTGCCCCCTTGTGGACAAAATTTACACTTGCAACTTCACAAATAAACCAGCTGCAACAGGACAGCAGCTGGCAGGGGCTGCGGATTAGTCAGGGCCCCCCCCGAGAAAGTCAGGCCTTGCAGACGGAGCCGTTGCTGGCATAGACGGAGGAGCCTAGGGGCATGGAATGTTTTCTAAAACTCTGCTCTAGGAATTACTTTGGGGCAGTTCTCTGGCTATACGGGGGTCAGACTTAGATGATCACAATGGTCCCTTCTGGCCTTGGACTCTATGAACCTATACCCTGCCCTACAGTGTGCGACGGCTGCTGTGATGATTGAACTCGTTAGCCCACCTGCAATTAGATCCCCGCTCACGCTCTCTGCAGGGCCCGGCCTCCTCAGGAACAACACAGCTACAGGGACTCGGGTGACCAGATGTCCTGATTTTATAGGGACAGTCCCGATTTTTGGGTCTTTTTCTTATATAGGCTCCTATTACCTCCCCACCCCCGTCCCGATTTTTCACACTTGCTGTCTGGTCACCCTAACAGGGATGCTTCTTTTCCTAAACTCCATTTGTCTCATTTTCCATTTAACTGGCACTCCTCCCCAGAGATCAGAGGGGGGAGAGCAGGGGCAGGAACCAACCTCCCAGTATCAGGGGGTAGCCGTGTTAGTCTGTATCTACAAAAACAACAAGGAGTCTGGTGGCACCTTAAAGACTAACAGATTTATTTGGGCATAACCTCCCAGTGAGGATCATGGACAGGAAAATGAGCTAAATATGAAAAGTTTCTCTGTGGGGGAATAAAATGGAGGACTCTGCTCTGCGTAGCCTGCACAATGCTGCATGTTAACTCTCTGCCCCTGGAGCCGGGCCTCTTTGGAACAGCTCTCAGCACAGAGCGGATATTTCCTCCGTTTGCACAGCCCAGATGTGGAGGCCCCTACACCCCCCAGAACCAAATCTGTACAACTGCCAGGCAAGCTGTTTGCAGCCCCCCCAAAGGCTAAGGCTGGAAAGAGGAGAAAAACCCACAGCCTCCTTACCTGCAGCCTGTCTCTGTGTCACTGATGGCAGTCCCCAGCGCAAAGCTTAACGCCATGGAAAGCAGGCGATAACCCTTTCGTGCCCAAATAACCCTTTCATGCCCAAATCAAAGTTTGCCCCAATACAGGCGTGCGTGCGTGTGGCGTTTCAGGGTTTCTGTCACACGCCAGACACTGCCCCTCCACACAAAAAGCAGACTGTGGTAAGCAGACATTTTAAAATGGCCACAGTGGAGGAGTGGGGGGCAGCTTTGGAAAGGGGAAGAACATTTCCAAAAAATCCCATAGTTTCTTGGAGCTAATTTCTGCACATTATTGCTGGGGCCTGGGAATTTTATAACTTTCCTCCATCGTTACATTTTAAAGAATGCTTAAAACTTTTCATTTTATGTCCATCATCTGGGCTGCCCCGGAAAGGGACATTGTGTGCAGGGGACTGGATGAGGCCCCCAGTCCTGAGATCCTCTGAGTCTACAAAATCTGCCGTTAGCGTTTCCAGGTTCATCCCAAGAGTGGCCACCTATAGTTAGACCCTATCAAATTCACGGTCCATTTTGGTCAATTTCATGGTCAAAGGAATTTAAAATAGTAAATTTCATAATTTCAGCTATTTAAATCTGAAATGTCATGGTGGTGTAATTTTAGGGGGCCTGGCCCATAAAGGAGTTGTGGGGGGGTCACAAGGTTATTGCAGGGGGGGTTGTGGTACCTCTACCCTCACTTCTGTGCTGTTGCTGGCAGCGCTGCTGCCTTCAGAGCTGGGCAGCTGGAGAGCGGCGGCTGCTGGCTGGGAGCCCAGCTCTGAAGGCAGCGTCACCGCCAGCAGCAGCGCAGAAGTAAGGATGGTACGGGATGGTATTGCCACCCTTACTTCTGCGCTGCTGCTGGCAGGGCGCTGCCTTCAGAGATGGGCACCTGGCTGACAGCCGCCACTCTCCAGATGCCCAGATCCGAAGGCAGCGCAGAAGTAAGAGTGGCAATACCGCACCTACCCTCCCTCCAAATAACCTTGTGACCCCCTGCAACTCCCTTTTGGGCCAGAATCCCCAATTTGAGAAACGCTGGTTTCCCCTGTGAAATCTGTGTAGTATAGGGTAAAAGCACACAACAGACCAGATTTCATGGCCGCGAATTTGGTAGAGCCCTACCTATAGTCTCAGCCCTATGCTCAACTCTCCACAGTTGAGGCCAGTGTCACTCAGCAGCAGCTGGCACTGAAGTCAATTGTGTTACACTGACATAAAACTGGGGTGACCAGATGGCCCGATATTAGGGGCGACTATACCCATCCCCCGAAAAAAAGTATCCTGATTTTTCACCCTTGCTGGCTGGTAACCAGCACAAATCAGAGCGGACTCAGGCCCTTTCTCTGGGGGTTACACTAGATGACCCTGGCGGTCCCATCTAACTATGATTCTGACAGCCCCTCTGAGAGACATTGACGAGTTAACATGTTATAACCTGATTGCACTATTTCACAAACCTATCTAGTGGTGGCGGCTACAGAGGAGACGTGTGGGTAGGGGGCACTTTACACTGACTTACCGGCATTATTTTATATTTATTCCACCTTGACTATGCAACCCACAACCAGGGCTTCTCTAATGTATTTATTCACACCGTGCCTTGTGCTGGTAGCGTCCCAGATAGACATGACCTAAACTTGAAAATGTTTAGGTACCGGGTGTGCAGTGTCCTCTGGCTCTCATGCTGTTCAGTATTGTCTCATTGGTTCCTTGTGCCCCGCATCTGTCATGTTGTATATCCTGGAAGCTGTGTGGGGCAGGGACTGTTGGTTTGTACAGTGCCTGGCGCAGTGAGGTCCTGGGCCATGAGGAGGCTCCGGTCACTACTGCAATACAAATAAATGATAATGTTTTGATTGATCATTAGACACAAACAGGTGCTTGCCTGGAAATTCCAGCTGCCTCTGACATGTGTTAACAAAACCACCTGATCAAACCCAACAGCCTCCAGTAAAACACCCAACCCTCAGCATCCCGGCTTAGCTAAAGCACCCCACTCTCGGGGCCCCATTCAGCATTGCCTGCAACTTGCAGTCAGAGCTCCAGGAGGAATTCTCACTGACTCATTTATTGCTGTAGAAATACTCTTCTCCATAAAACTCTCTTAGCATTTGGGGTGCTCCAGATTATGACTGACTTGAGACCAGTTTAAGGGAACCGGACACCTCAGTTTGGGGGGCTGCCCTCTTTCAGCCAATGCTTACATGGAGACGTGCTCTGGAGCCCATTCTGTAACTGGCTAATCGGCCGACTTCGCCCGTCCCCCAGCACGGTCTCTGTGCTGAGCCCCAGTGCAAACTGGCGCCAGCTGGGCTGCTCCAGGAACTGGAATTTGGAATCCACTGCATGCTAATGACTGCAATGGGGAGCCCTGTGCTCAGCATGAATGACCAGAATGGAGTGTGTTACTGACCTTACCAGGAGCAGCATCTCTGCCTGAGGTGGGCAGTGGCAGGGGTGGGAGGCTGGGAGTGGGAATACAGAGGCCATTGTCACCCTGACGATGTGACCTTGTTGGGGCAGGTTTGGGGCTCTGGGTTTGGTTCCCACTATACAATGACTTGAGGTTTTAAATAATTACCAAAAAAAAAAATATGTCTGGCAAGATCCATAGCAAGCTGCTATGCCCAGAGATATTCAGTAGTGTGCCCCTTATTGGAACCTCCAAAGCCTGGCGTCAGTCCTGGCCTAGCCTGCTCAAAGAGTGCTTCCTGCAAAGCTCAGAGCTGATCGCACCTTTCTTAGCGTCTGAGTCTGTTCCCATCTGGGGGATTGGTTGAAGAATCTCTCTAGGGCCTCGCTATGGCCAAACACTTTAGCATGTGCTTACTTTTAAGCACAAGAGTGAGCCAATTGACTGCACTATTGCCAATCCCAAATGTTCAAAAATCACGAGATTGGCTTTAAAATCTCAAGATTATATAAAATACTAGATTTAGGGTTCTTTTTATTTGCCTTCTGCTTTTGGGGCCTTTAGGGTGCACTGGGGTCACATTTGGAAGCTTTCTCCACAGTCATGAGGGCTAGAAACTTACTTTTTCTTTAAGAATGAAGGCTGAAATCATCACATCTCCACCTGACTCCAGGAGCTGGGGCTTTAAGGAAAACAATAATTATCCTGACACTCATGACAAAAGTCATGAGAGTTGGCAACACTGTGACTGGACCGGAGCTACTCCCAACATGCTTCAAATTAATAATATTTCACTTTTATAGAGCGAGCACTTTTCACTAAGCAGATGCTGAAGTGCTTTGCTGGATGGGGAGGCGTCTCTGTTTGGAACGTTCTAACTGGCACAATTTGTTCTGGGAATGAAGGGATTACAGTGTGTTCTCCCCAGCAGACATTTTGTTGGGTTTTTGCCTCTGAATTGCTGTCAGTTTAACAGAGGCTTCCTGGGTTTGTTTTTCCTTCTGTGCTTTCAGATCCAGCTGCTCTCTGAGGCTGGAACCAGACCGTTAAATGCATCAAGCTGTGAAACAGTCTTTGCTCTGCTGAAGTGGGTGCATGGTATAACTGCATCTGCTTTGTCTGAAAGGGATACGCCACAGCTGCTTTGCCGAACAGAAAAATGCTGCACCATGAACAGTTAAAATGCAAAATTGGGCTGCGACCTTTCAACTGGACCTGCATGGGTGAACCCAGTGGGGCTCTGCAGGGGCACAGGGGTCCCGCTGCATGATTGGGGGTCTCTCTTTAGTTAGGTTTTGCTGCTAGCTGAGACGTATGCATTTAAGATCATGTATATTCTGCCCTCACCTGGGGTTGAATGGAACTTGTCTATTGATGCTTGTAGAATTCACATCATTTTATAGTAAATGAAACGTACAATGATTAACAAATTGATTTGGGGCAGTGACATTTTCAGAAACTTTCATCAAAGCCTGAGCATTTTGGGGGCATCAACCTGAGCTGGGTTTAAAAGATTGAATGTGTTATACTTAGAAAATGAAAACCAGCAGGATCTTATTCAGGGGATAAGGCAATACGCCGTGTTACTGTGAATACAGAAAGAATCAGAGTAAGCAATCGGTTATAGCTAGAACATTCCATTCACTCCCACAGTCATTCCACACACACACACAAGTTCTGCAAGGTTGTTATTATAATTACCAGCCTAGAAGTTGCTCGTGCCAAGTCACTTGCCAGGTGGCCTGGACACGAGGATGGAGCAGGGCCTTGTCAGATGCGCATCCAATGCGCCTGAAAGTTGGTTGCACACCCAGACCCAAAGTCCTCAGACTTTAGGGTCTATCTTTATAGGGATCCATCCTCATACAAGTCTATGGGGTTTGCCTTGTCATGCTGTTTTCACATTTGAAGTGATAATCAGTCATGCAAATAGCACAGCAATGACAGTTTGTTGTTATCTTGTTCTTCGGTCCCCTTGGGGCGGTTCGGGGTGGAGTCCAGTGTGCCCTCAGGGGTATTGGGTTATCTCACCCAAACAGTCCTGTCGGAGGTTCGTCGTTTTTCTTCCTCCAGATGTGGTGTCGTTTATTATGATTCTAAGGCTGGCGCCTCAACCTTTTATTACCCATCCAAACATACAACCGCAATCACACTCTATTTTACTTAACATATTTTTTATTACATTTACATTTTATTACCTACTCATTCGTTACCAGAACCATTTTAAAATCACTGGGGCATGACAGACTCCAATAGACCTATTCATAGATTCATAGATTCTAGGACTGGAAGGGACCTCGAGAGGTCATCAAGTCCAGTCCCCTACCCTCATGGCAGGACCAAATACTGTCTAGACCATCCCTGACAGACATTTATCTAACCTACTCTTAAATATCTCCAGAGATGGAGATTTCACAACCTCCCTCCGCAATTTATTCCAGTGTTTAACC